ATTGCCAGTTATAGTCAAATTTTGTCCTAGCCAAAATGTTGAATCCAGAGACTTGAGAACTCTCTCCACCCTGTCCCAGAGTCAAGTTATTCTTATTACATTGCTACTGTGCATTTGAAGTGCATCTTAGTTGTATTTTAAATGTGCTTGTTTTTTTCCTAGCCTGAAAAAAAAAAAACAATGGTTTGGTAAAAGTATGGGAAAAGTATTGAATTTCCTTTGGAAAAACATGTATGAATCTGGTTCCTGAAAACAGCCCAGCTTTGCTGAAGTGTACCACCATGTTGATATAAATATTACTGTTTCTCTAAATTTTGGCAATGTACTAGTGTTAGAAGATCAACCTCATATAAGTTTTATGTCTTGAGTAGAAGATAGTAGAAGTCACAGAAATCGCTAAGTTACAGAAACTTACCCTTACTAAATTGGTTCTACTTGATGATTCTCCAATATGCTTATAAAGAGTGATGTGTGCTTTTCCACTGGCTGAGGAACGGAAGAAGCGTGAAATGTTTTTTCTCACACATGGCTCGGAGTCTGAGTACAAGTGTGTGGGGGCTTTTCAGGTCACATGGCGCTTGTAAAATTCAGTTTTTGTTTTGCCATCTGCCATTGCCTGACATGCCCCACCCACCCACCCACCCGTGACATATTTTTAGAATGTTTTAAGTTGAAGTGAAACAGTACTATTTTCTAGCCGCTCTTTCATGTCGTTGTGAGGCAGCTATGATGTTATGTTAATAAAGGTCAGGCTGCATGGTTCAGCTTGGCATGGCTCCCAGTGGTGTGTGGGAAGTTGCCCTTTTCATGTTGCTGTCAAAAAAAGTGAAAAGACACAATAAAAAGATGTGGCTTTCTCAAAATTAAAAATGGATTATCGCTGTTGTAAATTATCACCCTTTTTCTGTTAGTTTCTGTCGGCTGTCACGCACGGTGTCACCTGTCCACAAAACCCCTTGGAAGGCCTCCATTATGAAAGCAACTTTACACCTGTAGGGAAATAAAGCCTTAAGTAATCATGTTTGAATCCTCTTCAAGCCTGATTTTTTTTCCTGGTTTTGTTTTTGCAGCTGCCTTAGTACCTTTCAAAACAAGTCTTACTGTGATAATCTTTCATGTAGTATACAGTTTGTTGTGCTGCTCCAGTTTGAAAGTGATATAATTTATATATTGCCAAAAATATGTAGGTTGATCTCTTGCTAAAATTGTCACATAGGTGGAGTAATTTCTCCCATCAGCGCACGCATTAACAAAACAAAAGTTACACACAGTCAATATAAGTGTACATGTAAGAGGAATTTCATGCAACCAGGAAGGCAAAGTTAAAGGTTAAAGTCAGCGACGATAACTACATGCACACATGTACCACTGCTTAGTATTCTGACCAATTGACATTAGAATTTGGGTTTGTAAAGGCAGTGTCCAGTTCCTACCAGAGAAATAGATTTTATTTGCCATTGTACTTACCTTCTCAGATTTGGTCATTTCACTTTGTTCTGTTTTGTTTTGTTTTGGACATACAAATTTACATTTTGGCATGAAGAGTCATTGCTCTGCAGATTAAACCTTCTGTCTCTAAGTTTACATTATTCTTGCCTTTGTCTTCATGGAGGCT